TGGGTGTGGGTGAGGGTGCGGGTGTGTGGGTGGGTGTGCGTGTGGGGTATGGGTGTGGGTGTGGGTGTAGCATATGGTAAAGCTGATACCCACACCCACACCCTTTCATACCTGATCATGAAGTGCAAGGAATGACGACAGGTACCATTCTGGAACTGGTTCGTCTCGTTCTCAAGAATCAATATTTTATCTACAATTACAGATTATATCAACAGATAAGAGGTGTTGCTTAAGGTTCACCATTGACCATTCCATTAGTGTATATCTATCTTTTTTATTGGCGGCATGATTTAATGATAGATTTAGTTCCTAAAAATGAACTTTTTGTCAGGTACAGTTTAGTAAGGAAATCATCGATGAAAGCTCATTTACTCTTGGTTTCATATTTAGATATCAAGATGAAGCTTTTATAACGTGGAATAGATCTGAGCATACACTTATCGAACTACTTGCTCTGACATAGTCAGAATTTCCTGAAGTAATGTCGCATGTCACTTCCATAGGGTCTATTATTCATTTTCGAGATATTGAAATTGGTCATCACCATGGCCTCCTTTACACAACAGTGTATCATGACGATACTTTGGGCCATGAGGGTGTGGGTGGGTGTGAATGTGGGTGTGGGGTGGGTGTGGGGTGTGGGTGTGCGTGTGGGGTGTGGGTGTGGGTGTGGGTCGGTGTGGGTGTGGGTGTGGATGTGGGTGTGGATGTGGGTATGGGTGGGTGTGGGTGTGGGAGTATAGGCGTGAAAGTAGTAGCAGAGCAGATGAAAACCCACACCCACACCCACCCCCACACCCCACCCCACCCCCACACTAACACTCCCACACCCACACCCCACACACCCACACCCACCCACACCCACACTCACACCTCACACCCACACCGAACTTTATTGATGATTAATACAAAAAGCTAAGTTTTTATGAAAAATGATTTCATGACGAATATTGTTGAAGTCAATCGAATATTTTCAAATATAAAAATTTGCATTTTGAACTTTGTTTTTTCTTTGTGAAGTTTTATATCTTATGATGATAAAGAAAGAATTTCTTTTTATAGAAATAGGTTAACTTTTGGATATTGAAAGTATCAAATATTTAACTAAATTAGATCGATATTCAAGATCACTTAGAGAGACTTTTTTAGTTAAAGACTTACAAATACTATTGGATTTTCTTTAATCAATATATTTTACCTTGAATCAGAATACATTTCTGCGAAGAAATTTCAAATAATTAAAAGAATTTTAGAAAATTTTCTATCATAAATAAGAATTCAACTGAAGTTTTAAAAACTATTATTATAAACAAGAAATAAAATTGATTTCGATGATTTTTCCTACTGAACCTGTAGAATCTTCTAAGATAAAATATTAAAAATATTCTCAAAAATGGAAAATAAACTCCATTGAAAAAAAAATAATTCGTATGAAATATCAAAGAGAAGAAAATTTCTAAAAAATCATCTCAAATAGAAAAATCTATGAAATAACGCAGATCAAATGTTAATAGTTACAGACTAATATTCGAGAAATATAATATTTCTTTTTCAAAATTCTCAATTGATTTTTGGTTTACAATAAAATTAAAAACTTAGTGCCTTTTCAATCTATTAAGTTAGACGAATTCGATATTCAACTACAAAACCAAAATTTAACAATAAGAAAAGTAAAAATGATCATAGAATATAAGAAAATAAAAATTTCAATTCATTCAGAAACGTTTGATCACACTGTTGGGAAAGAATTGTGGTCTCGATTTTCTAAACATCATACTCGTCTCGAAAATTCTATTAAATATCTTCTATTGAGTTTAGATTTTAGGCTAACTTTTACGAATAGTTTTGATTTAAATATTCAATTGATTAATAATTATTCGAAACAAGTTTTCCACCATCAACGAATCAAAGAGAGATTTTTACGATTTGTATTGAAAAAAAATGAAAAAGTATTTATAAAATTAATTCAAATATAAGAATAGAAAATTGGTTAGAGAAAACTTTCGACTATGAAAACGTTCAGAAATTATCATTAAATTTAGATGCATTGAATTTTATGAATATCAATGTTTAAGGGTCAATCATTAGTGTTATTGTAGAAATTTCTTTCTTTTGAGAAATATTGACATTCGACAAAGAGAAAAAACTCTTCATTTGATAATTTCAAGTAAAAATCTTTTCAGACTGAAATTTTGATTTTCACTTGAAATTCGAAACATTAAAACTCTTTTATAACACATTGTTTATTACTTCAGTTCATATAAAATCATATTATAAGTATATTGTTTAGACTGAAGAAGAATTGATCTGATCAAAATTATCATAAGATATTAAGTAGACTTAAAAGATTTATTAAAAAATACTTCCAATTGTATTTGAAAATAGATAATGATAAACTCAAACTGAGTATACTTTAGGTCATATTTAAAGAAATAGAAAACTCTTTATTTTTCGAATCGAGAAGTACAATGAACTATATTATTTGATAATAATCTGATAGGAGTCATGAGCAATGAATAATTGTTTGGGTGTGGATTTGGGTGTGTATGTCACTCCTAGGAAGAGGAACATCCACACACCCAGACACCCACACCCTCAACTAATTAAAGTATTTTTTTGGTGAGCAAGTAGGGATTGTTTTTATGGATTTTTTTATATGATATATATATATACATATGATACCCTACTTCTGTTAGGACATTGTAACAACAAGAGTAAATATTTCCAAATTAAATGAGATAGACATATTTAATCAAAATTTTATAGGCATACCATGGTACTGTTAGCTAATATAGTGTCGCATACAAACCAGAAGCCAATATTTTTAAGTAATAGATGTCTATACATATCTATATTAATAAAACCTGATATGAAATAGTGAAATCAATCGGAATAGAAAAACTAAAAACTATTTTTAATGAAATTTATTATGAATTTGGTAACCAGAATGTATGTTACATTACCACAACATGGCTTTATGACGTTTGCAGATAAAAGGTAATATATTGCAGTCAATAAATCTATATATTGTAGTGGAATATCTATGGTGAGTATGTTAATCTACATTAAAAGCTTTACACTAGTTTCTTGCAGAGGTGGAATAATCCATAAAAATGTTGACTTTTTAGTATATATTCTGGTGACCAGAAAGTTATTTTTTACCGTAGTGATGCA